GTTGGCGGCGGCGGTGCGGCGGCTGGCCTGAGCGACCCGGCCGGCACCGCCAGGCGGGTCGATGTGGTTCGATGCTCGGGGCGTCACACTCGCGGTGCTCAGCGGTCGGTTGATCAGCGGGGCGCGGGCGGACGCTGCCGCCGTCTACGCTGGAGGCAATTTGGCATTGCTTCCAGCAAGGTGTCACGCAAACAAATCATCGAGATCTGGCTCGCGCGGTTGGCTCGGGTGCCTTCGCGCTGTCTGTTCGGGCGACTCTTGATCGTCACGCTGCTGGTGGGCGTCGCTCGGCACCTGTTGCCCGATCCAGACCTGCGGCGCGCGGTTCGTGATGTGCTGTTGACGAGCGTGGTCGCCATCCTGGCGACGCATGCGCTGGCGCGCTCCCGGATGGCGGGCGCCGGGTCTCCGTCGCCCATCCGTGCCGTCGCAGGTGCGGTGCGTGTGCTGGGGCGCGCGATGCACGCCTGTTTTGTCGGCGATCGCAGCGGGCGTACAGAAGTCCAATCCACCGCTGTCGCCTTGACCTACATGAAGTCAGGCAACGCCCAGGCCATCTTTGCCCTGATGCTGGTGGGGCTCGTGGCCGAGATCCCGCTGGTGTCCCTGATCCTGGGTCCGATGCTCAAGGCATCGCCCGAGTCCGCGGCGTCACTGCATGCGGGGCTCCTCGGCGTTTCGGCCCTCGCCGTGGTGCTGTTGATCGGGGACCGTCGCTGCATCGGGCAGGGCCAGCACCTGCTCACGCCCACGCACCTTCACCTGCGACTCGGCTTGAGGGCCCAGGCGGACCTGCCTCGTGTCGATATCCAGGCTATTCGCGCTGTGCCTGCCGACGAGGCGCGGCGGTTGACAGCGGGTTGCCATCCCCGTCCCGCTGATCACGTGTGCCTGGCGCTGTCCGCCTTGCCCAACCTGGAGCTTGAGTTGGGTCGCGCCCTCCCGGTGACGATCGTCGGAGCAGCGCATGAGGCTCGTCTGATCCTGCTGCATGTGGACGAGCCACTCTTGCTGATCGCGGCCCTGCGCGCCGGCCCCGACGTGGCGCCCCAGGCCGAGGCCTGACGACGCCCGCAGCCTTCGTATCAGGCCCCGGTCCCCTTGCCGCTGACCTTGGCCGTCACGGCCTGGTGGGTGGCGAGGTCCTCGATCCAGGCCTCGCAGGCGTCGGCCGCCACCCGGCCGGTCACGCGGTAGGCTTTGCCGGCCTCGGGGGTGAAGGCCACGTCGCCCTGCACGCGGCAGGTCGGGTTCTGCAGCGCCAGCACCGGGGCGGCGTACTGCGTGGTCGCCTGCAGGCGAACCCGCAGGGCCTGCAGCGGCAGCTCGTTGGTGAGGGCCACCACGGGGGAGCGCGTCGTCTCGCGGCCTTGCGTCGTGCCCACCGTGGCCATGCTGGTGCTGGACAGCCGCCGGCCGTCCACGGCCGTCATCTCGAAGATGTGCAGCCGCTGCTCGCTGATGGCGATGGCCTGGTCGGCCACGTTGATGGTGGGGCCGGTGTAGTCGGCAGGCGTGGCGGGCTCGAGGCTGGCACAGCCGGCCAGCAGGAACCCACCGAGCAGGGGTAGGGCGAAGGACTTCATCGCCGCGCAGCTTAGCGCGCCACGGCCGCCCGCATCGATTTCGCCACGTAGGCCAGCGCCACCGCCGCCAGCGCGAAGCCGACGATCACGCCCGGCATCACCTGGCTGAGGCGCAGCGCCTCGCCCTTGAGCACGGCCATCATCAGCGTGTTCTGCGCCAGGCCCGGCACCCAGTAGTACCAGCCCGCCTCGCCGCCCGGGTTGAGCAGGCTGATCATCGGCATCAGCGTGACGGCGGTGATGACGAGGGTGCTGCCGGCCTGGGCCTCCTTGAAGGTCTTGGAACGGATGGCCATGGCCATCAGCAGGGCCGACAGCCCCGCGGCCAGCGGCAGCTGCAGCAGCCAGAAGGCCAGCACTTCGGGCCCGCCGAAGCTGAACTGGGCCTGCAGCACGTCGCTCTTCAGCAGCCACTGCGCCGGCACGAAGCTCACGCTGGACAGCAGCGCCACCGCCATGCTGAGCAGCGCCACCGCGCCCCACTTGCCGGCCACGAGCGCGCCGTGCGGCG